TGGGACCATTTTCCTCACCTTTTTTTTTGTCCACACATTTCTGGGTACAATTAACAAGCCATGACCATCTAACTGGGCAGCAGAGATTAAAGCTGACCTGAGGATTCATGCAAATACTTCACATCATCAAACTATTGCTGATACATAACATGCTTGGATTTCAAAGGAATGCTAATAGTATTTTAATCCTGATACATTCAAACCTCTCCATGTTGTGATATCAATGCACTTCTGTAACTTTATGGAATTAGTTTGAATTGTGCAAATAAAGTTTTGAATCACAAGAAAACTTTCACAATAAAGGTGTGTATATTCATATTTTCAATGATCGCAGATATTGGTATGTCTCGTGTTTCTAACTGATTGTAGTACTAAGATTTAGATGTAACAGGAAGAAAAAAATTCAGTGAGTATGATATTAGTCAATAAGTTGCCCTTACGGCATAGTAATTTTTCAGCTTGGTGTGTAAATATCACTTAAATGTTATGAGAAAATACAGTTGCCCAAGGTAAACCTTAGTCTCATTAATCCAGAAAACTCCTTTGATGGGGACACTATTCTATGGCATGACACAAAGTATGGCATATAACGATATAAATGTAATCACGCTTTATTCTTGTGGTGTACAGGATTTCCCTAAAGTCTTTGACATTGTGCAAACTGTAGCAGAGACATGGGAAACACGTGTAAATAAGATTGAGAAAAGCCAAGAAAAAATGCGAAACTAAGAAAGAAATTTGTATTTTTACAGCATCATTCATGACCTCTGGACAGCCCAAATCATGTTACAGTCAATGAAGCAATTTTGAGGTGTAGACACAATTGTAATAAAGCAACCAGGCTCCATATAGCAAGCACCCACAGTCCACACTGTGATGATAAAAAGAAAATCTAATGACAGGTATTAGTTGAACATTCGTTAGGATAATTGCTTACTCTTCTTCTGGTATTATTTATGTCTACCTGAAGAAGAGAGGTCTGAGTTTAAAGTGGTGCCTCCAACAGTGTTGCACTCTCTCGGTCTAGATATTTTGCACCACTCCCTGGAATGAGACCTTAATTCACAACCTTTCAACTTAAGAAATAATGACGTTTTACAGCATGGAAGGTGACCATTTGGTCCACCATGTTAGCCATCAACAAACAGCTTTCCAGTCTAATCCTATTTTTCAGTATTTCTAAATGAAATTTCAGGCAGTGAATTCCAGATCCCAGCTACTCTTTTGGTGACCAGATTTCCCATTGATTGCACAATAACTCTTCTACCATTTGTTATAAATTTACACCTGCCTGGTTACTGATCTCTTTGCTGAGGAATGAGGTGCTTTCTATCTAATGCCCACCTAACCCCCTAATAGTTAAAATTCTCTATTCAAGACAACATTCTTGTAAATCTCTTTTTGTGCCCAAGATGATCATACCCAACCTGCAATGATCTGTGCAGACCTGTACACAGTACTCCAGCAGTACACTAAGTAGTGTTTTATATAGTTTCTGCATAACCTCTTGTATTTCTTTGAAATCATAATTCCAATGCAGCTTGGTTGATTCTGAAGCCCCAGAGGCTGCACGGCCATCATTGGCCAAGGGTGGGCAGGAGCTGGAAGGGGTCGGATGTCAGATCAACTCAGGCTGCTTCTGTGGGGCCTGTGGGACACCCCTGTTCTATGAGACGATTTGGAAACTTGCCTGGAGGAGTTCTGTGGCAGTAAAACTAGTCACAGACTGGACAAGGCTCACTCCAATTACTTGTTATAACATGTCAACTGGGATCCGGTGTGCACCAGGGAATATGTTAATTGTATTTTAAACAGAGCCCACCACCTTAAGTAAGAAAGACATCACACCCTCAGAGACAGACAATGGGCAGTGTCAATGATATGGAGACAATGGGCAGAATCTTACAGGGGCCTAAATAATGTGGGCTATGGTCAGAAATGTGGCACAATCACACCAGATATCTGACGAGACTTACTTCAACGTCAGGGATAACTTGCTGCATCTTTTCAGCGAGCTCCGGTCGTCGAGGCGAGATTGTCGCTAGGCAGCAGTGAGTTGCCTATTAAGGGGGATTATTTCTTGTTAAACATCTGATTAACTGCCTGTCTGGCCTCATTAATATGCAGCCTCCCATCCTACCATCCGCCGCGAGCAAACTAGACACTGAGAATACAGTCAGAGCGAATCCCTGGTGACCTCAGCTCACCGCTGGCTGTGAGGAGACTCCGTGTTGCTCAGCAACAAACAGCATCTCAGAGCATGATCCCTTGGCACCAGTCGCATGCATCCCTTGTCCATCGACCCTGGCATCCAACGTACGACAGCCCCTCACCATCCTCATGACACCGCTCTGATCCATTTAAAGGATGCTTAGGAAACACCAGCAATCAGCATTGAAAGGCTGCAGCAAGGACGCTTTGTGTGCAGGGACAGACACCCCCAGCTCACGGTTTGGATCAGGCTATATCTCAGAGTTGCCCACTTGTTCCCTTAGTGCTCATTCACTTAGTGCCTACCTGTTGATAGGTGGGGCACACAGCTTGCTGTGTGGGGCACATCGGAACATCAATCTAACACAGATAGCATGTGCCAGCTGCCTGCACAGCTAATATACTGCACGTTTATTCAATCAAACGGCCAGTTCAGGAAGTGGTGGGAGTTAGTCCTCAGTCCAGACACTGTCAGTCGGGTGGACCCAGAATATCAGTCAAGGGGTCTCAGTAGTATCAGTCAGAGGTACAGTCCACACACAGTCCAGGAGCTTGACCATGCTCAGTTAGCCACTCAGGCTGGCCACAGTCTGGGGATTTGTCGAATTACAGTCCAGGGAGTAGGCAATGGTCAGTCCCTTAGAGCTACTACAAGTAGCCAAGGGAATCGCACATTGCCAGTTAGGCGGTTGTAAAGATGTCAGTCGGGGGTCTAGTCAGTCATGTCTGGAGGAAATGCTGGCCAAAACAGCCCATAATTTGTGAAATCTTCAAGGTTGCTGTGGGAGGCAAAGACAATTGCTTCATCAGCTGTCATGTAAGGATTACGATAGACTCTCCTGAATGCCTTGTTTAGTCGAATGTTTGATGTGGGTCTAGAATGGAAAATGGGGACGGGCTTGGTGAATGACTCAAGTGTTTAGAGGCATGTATGCCACCATCATCTATAGGGCAATCCATCTCTGACTGACGGGAACTAAGAACTTGTCTAGTTTCTTAGGTTTCCAATAGAGTTCATTTCCAGTAAGAGTCACATGCCCAGCCACTGGTGGGATGGTGGTCGCCGTGTCTGCCTTCCTCAGATGGCAAAGGCAGATACAGGACGGCAAGGGCTGACACAACAGCAGGCCCTGCAGAGGATGAGGAGCACCCAGTTCAGGAAGAGGTCGCAGCCAGAGGGGCCCGTCAGGATGTGTCAGACGTCCTGAGATTTTCACCTCAGACATATTTTCTGGGGATGAGCGAGGCACAGTGTCGATGTGGGCTCCATATGTTCCAGGACACTGTGACAGAACAATGCCAGATGGTGGAGCAGGACACAAGGGCTACGGGACTTGGGGGTGCCATCTTTTCCCTGTGGTGATGAAGGTGACAACTGCTTTGAACATTGTGTGAGTGGCTCCTTCCTAGACTGACTGCAGCCTCTATTCATTTTCTTCATGTTCACTTTTGCTGGCTGTAAATGAAAGTGCACACTTAAAATTGTCTGATTGCTTGATGGCATGTGATGTTCCCCTAGTGGACAAGAACGAACTGCAGGTCTCCAGTCAGCATTGGGGAGCATGTCGCTGTGACATAGGGGTGTGAAGATGATACGTAGCAAGGATATGTAAACTGTGCAGTCTGATTGTTGAATAGTGATTAAGGTGAGAGGATGGAGTTGTATGTGTCAGGGAATGTCAGCCATGTTAGCTCAGTGCTGTGAGCCACATGGCTTTCAGTATGCTGTACCATTACATTGGCAGTGAGGGGCAACATTGGATTGCCAATGCTTGCCTTGGTAATACAGTGGTTTTTAAAGATGGTACAGGTGTCAGTCTTTTGGCAAATGTCCAGTGAATAACAAGTTATCCCGGATATATCTCAGAGCTAAGGGGGAACTAGAATCGGGAGTGAGAGGGCACCATTGGGGCAGGTTAGGTAGTTAATGAGGCAGTGAGGTAAGATATGGCGGAGAGATTTCGCTAGGTTGTATGCTGAAAAAGCTTCCAAAAAACTCAATGCAACTGACACAGCAAAAGAACCTTAGATTCAGCCCATTAAGTCTAGCAACACTTTTTTTTAAGCTGCTACTTCCCAGTAATGAAGATTTTGTTGATCTATATCAACACCCAAAGACAAAGACATCGGTAGGTCTGAAACCAGGCATCTGCAATCAACATGAGCCAGATCCAAAATTACACATTACAAAGGGATGTTATTGCTTTAACATGTATTTCCGCTTCTACTGAAATTCTCCACAGAAGGATAGCACAATAAACAGCTACTGAAAGTTTTCAAGATTTTGCAGTTCCCAAACAATATTAGGCAGATTCTAATCTTTAAATAAAACACAATTTAAATACTTAATACGAGGAGGTGTATTAAATGAAGATATCGGAACTGAAATGTAAAAGTAACAACCTAAGTCCATTTACTTTTCCAAACTCAGCCTGGTTTGCACATTGTTAAGGCAAGTACATAAGCATTTTTCTTCTTAATTCAGGATTTAAAGGTCAGAAATGCTTTCTCTTTTGACAACAGCCCTTTAACTTCTTCACTCTTGTATTAAGCTAGTCTAATTAAGATGATTTTTTTAACATTGATCTTTGAGTCAGTCAAAGAACAGGCACTTTAATCCCCAGCTTTGAGCTTCCCAACCAGATAAAAAGGAAGCCTATTAAACATAATTGCATGTGCCAAAAGGATAACTAAGGTAAAAGTACTGAAAGAATGTCTGTGGAGAAGAAGCACACATTTTAAAGTGCAGCCTGTTTTTATCAATGGCAAGTTTTGAAGTTAACACTCACAAGACAGAGAATCGGTATTGATCCTGATCCTCCAGGTATGGGGGCACCTGTGGAAATCTGTCTTTCTCAACAGGATTCTGACACTTAGCTTTGGTATGGAATTCAAGCCGATTATGATGAATAGCCTGAAAACAATAAAAAAGAACATCAATCTGCCAAAAATTGTTGATACAACACTAACATCTTCCATGAAGAAAACCATAGGCATGTTGAAGGGTAAATTTCAAGCAGTTATCTGGTCACAATTAAGCACTTGGGAAAAAACAACCACATAATATTTTTAACCTCCCTTTTGTGGTGTTTCCCCTATATCACGAAGGGCCACGTTCTTAACACTTCATAGAATAAAACATACATGCTTTTCAATGTTGTTTAAGAAAGCACCCAGGTGATTGGAAGCCTACACAAACTCTCCTGCTTGTTCACCATAATTTTAGCAGAATGAGTACAAAGACAAATGTGAAGTAAATAGTTGCCCTAAATATTCAACCAATGTTATATAAAATGAACCTTAAATTTCACCAACCTTCAGATTAATTCACTTTTTGAACAGCACAGAATGCTCAACGAGAATTATTACAGATTGCAGTATTTTCTCCCTAGACACAGGGACTTACCCTACATCTCCAAAAAAATCATCACAATATAAATGTTTTACATTTCACGAAATTATTTCAAGAAAAGCAACTTAATAAGAGCTAAATACTAAAGAAACATTTTCCATCAGTACAATGAACTGGTGCTATCATATCTTAGGTGAGTTGATACATGTTAAATCAACGCTCAGGATGCAAAATCTAACACCAGCTGAGAGGAACATAACTTTCACCGAAAATATTAAGTTCATGTTTAGGCTGTTGGGAAATGCTGAGGCAATCATGTCAAAACTTTAATGAAACTATTAAAAACACTAGAAGTAATTAAATGGATACTTTTCATTTTGTTGCCATATAATGTCATTTTTTTGATTTTCTTTTTAAAGTGTTTTCAAACTTTATTTTGGATATTGGAAATTTCAGTTACTGAAAAATAAAAAAAAAGGAGGGTATAAAGAATTCTCAGAAAATATTTGAGTGCTTTCTGGCAGTTGGATTGTTTAGTTAGAATGATGAGTTTCTACCAGCAGGACACATTAGAACCATAGCAGTTTGTGATGATAAAATGTCCAAAACATGGGACAACAGAGGTCAGGTAATGCAGAGAGGCATTGTACAGGGATCCAAGATCAATTACAGAACACATGGTGACTAATTATTAAGTATCACTATTAGCTGCATCCTCTTTTGAGATGATGTAGAATGATGAGTTTCCATAGGAGAATTTGTTTATAAAAACTGTTTCATTAACAGTTATATTAGATCTAAGACTTTCAATTATTATTGATAGGTAGATAAACAAACAGACTTACTGACAGGTACTGAGTAAGACAAATTAATCAATTGCCCTATCCTGTCCAACCCTCCGGGTACTCCAGTTTCCTCACACAGTCCAAAGATGTGCAGGTTAGGTGGGTTGGCCATGCTAAATTGCCCATAGTGTTCAGGGATGTGTAGCTTAGGTTGGTTATAAGGGGATGGTTCTGGGTGGGATGCTCCAGGGTCGGTGTGGACTTGTTGGGTCGAAGGGCCTGTTTCCACACTGTAGGGATCCTATGATTCTATGATTCTATTACATAAATGACTTTGCTTTTCACTGACGGTCACATCCCAGATTTGCCTGACCAGTGTCGGTGCACAGGGAACTTTGCTGAAAACTGGCTCAAGCATTAATCTGTATTTTATCTTAGTGGGTACTGATTGACCACATGTAAATTTTCAGCATTCATACTTTTGTTCTTTTTTTCATTTGGTGTGGATTACCACACAAGTGATTACCAAACCCAGAATGTATGTTCCCCTCACAGACTCACCCAATTTTTCCAGTTCCAAGTCTTTCCCATCTTTCCCAACCTGGTCACTCATCACCCACCAACCTTCACACACACTGCTCTCGTCATGGCTGGGATCCCCAATTCAAACCTCTCTTGTGCACAGCCAGAGACTTCTGATCATTTCAATATCAATCAGGGAGAAATTAATTGTTTGAGCACTAGTATCTGTGGAAAAAGGCATTAAAAGCAGAGAGAGGTGAAGCAGAAGAAGGAAGAAACATGTACGGGGAGGTAGCGTTGAAAATGATTGAGAGACCATTAAACATTTTATTTTTTAAAAAACAGAAGTCATGATATACAGACATCAAGAAAGGGATACATATAGATAAACAGGAAGTGTGTGTGTGTCACAGAAACAGGATAACACAGTGAGCTGTGGTAAGAAAAAGGTGAACTGAAATGTGTTTTACACTGGATTAAAACAACAACTCAAGGGGCATCATATGAATAACTGAATTAAATATTCATCTGCTAATACAGCCAACTGTTATTGCTAGATGATGATGTTTAAATGGATACTCCCATCCATTTGCACATTTCTCAATCTGAAAACACCAACAGATTTCAGTATTGTGAATGCAGATTGAGCTGCCACTGAAGCAGCATTATTATGAGCAACATGTCCAGTCCTCCATGCCAATGAAACTCAATGACTACAAGCTGCAAGTTTTGATTTATGAAAGTACTAACTTTGCACATCTGCACTCATGGTGTAGAATTTGGTTTGAATTGGGAAATCAGATAGAACATAGAACAGTACACCACAGGAACAGGCCCGTCAGCCCAACATGTCTGTGTTGCCCATGATGCCATTCTAAACTGCATTAATTTGCCTGCCCATGGTCTATTTCCCTCTATTCCCTACTTGTTCATGTGTCTGTCTAAATGCCTCTTAAACTTTGCAAGTGTGATCACCATTCCCATTTCACATCAGTGAACAATTTCGGTTGTCCAGTGGTCAATTTTAAACCGACCTGTCTTGCAATATTTAGCACTAAAAACACAATCTGAATTGCCTGGGCTTGATGAATTGGATTATCAGGATTGGCTACCATTGACTCAGAGAAATAGGGTGTCAGCACTTGTCAATTCAAGTTGAGGGATCCATTGAAAAATAATTTTTACACTTATGCATGTTCAACTGAAGAGGAATTTCAATTGAAATAAGCAGAAAAAGATTGATATTAAATTAAAACGAAAACCTTAATTTTTACCTCAGATGGGATTGGTATAGTAGAGGTGAGGTTAATGCAATACAAGCGTCAAGAACATGTGCTGACGATCAGACAGTTTTGATCCTGGTCCATATTTATATTGGCAAGATGAGACTTCCTACTGAAACCAGGCACAATGATTACCCTGGATAGTAAATGGGGAGCAGCAGGTGGTGTCCCCGTGATAAGTCCATCAGAAGCCCCATGGAGGGGAATCTCTGGGAAAGGAAGGTTCAGGGTCTCCTTGTAGAGATGGGAGGAGCACTGATAAATTTCCTGGCCTGCAATGAAGAGGTGGTGGGAAGCAGTGGCATTGTGGTAATGTGACTGGACTAGCAAACAAGAACCTGAGGTTAATATTCTGGGGATATAGCTTCAAATCCTGACATGACAGAGGGTGAAACTGGAATTCAATAAAAAATCTGGAATAAAAAGCTCGCTTAATGGCAACCTTATAACCATTACTGATTATTACTGAGATCCATTTGGTTCATTAATGTCATTTCCACAACAAACCTGTCATCCTTAACCGGTCTGGCCTGTACGTGACTCCAGGCCCACAGCAATATAGTTGACTCTTAACTGCCCTCTGGACAATTAGTGATAGGTAATAAATGCTGGCCTAGCCACTGACACCTTCAGCCCACGAACCAGCTGCGGTTCCCAGTAGGTTTGGTGTTACGGAGAAGCCAACACCAATTCCTACTCAGGTCTCAGGTTACGTTGGCAAATCAGGATCCAAAAACATTGTGAAAAATTAATCTGCAAATTTAGTAAAAGGGCTGTAAGGTTTCCAGCTTCAAAATAAAATTGAATTTGGTTGATTGTGTGTTAAAATTGAAGTGCAGTTAAAAATAGGATTGAAATTAGTTGAAAAGAAATTATGATTTGAAAGCCTGCCAAAATCCATTGTCCATCAAATGTGAGAAATGGGCACTTTGATGTGTTACTGAATAGCAACAGGAACTAAGTGCATAAAGGTGTAACATCCTCAAGTAAATGGAAGGGGAGAAACTTGGCAGAGAAAAAGACAGGGGAGAATGAAGTTTGCTTGTTTAAAAGAACCCCCTCAGAACATTGCTCATTCATTATTTTAACACTGAGTGGTCTGTCTCTTTTAATAGAGCGGTCATATTCCATTTGCTAAAATCTAATCCCTTACAGAAAACTAGTTCAAGGAAACAAAAATGACAGTACAGTAAGAGTGAAAAGCACTTCCTACTTGAAAGGCTGGCAGGTCGACTACCACATTTGACTAATTTTATCAGAGTTGTCTTACAGCTGAGAAGGTGTATTCTCAACAAGAAGGGGTTGGCTGGCGTTGCCAATTTCACAAAATGGCACTCATTTGGGCTTGTCAAACACATCAAATTCAAAGACACAAATACCTTTGTGTGTGAAAACTATTTTGACTAATCTCAGCTAACAATTGCAGGCATTTGCAATGACACAGTGTCAAGTATTCAGAACAACACAAATCTTCACCTGGAAGAACATTCCATTCTCATCATTTGCTGCGGTCAACTCATTAAATTTCTCCTCACAGTCAATGTTACTTCCACAGGAATCCTGAGCTGCAGTAACAAATAAAGAAACAGAAACACAGTTAAGAAATGTTATGTATTTCTCTGCGAATGCTGATATTTCCAATACAACATAATCAGATGCTTATGATGAGGCTATCTAGAAAGGATCCAGTGGTAGAATGAAAGAATATTGTGCAGAAAGTTTTCTCACTGGCCTTCTGTCTTTCGGGTTCTCATAGAAAATTGCCAGCTAATGCAAGAGCACATTATTGAGGCAATGGAGCAAGCATTGGTTGATAAAAGGATTAGAGGGTGAAAAACACCAGAAAATGATGGGTAAACCAAACTAGTTTAAGGTACATAAAAAGGGATGAGAGCATTTAAATTAGACCAGACACATGACAGCATAAGATGACAACAAAGATGAACAAAGTTCCTATCAGGATAAAACTGAACAGGCTGAGCAATAATTCTTTATTCTTTATTTTGTGATGTTATGTCAACAGGCACTTCAATAAGCAACTAAGAGTTCTCTAATCACATTATGTAGCAGCACCATGAATTCAGCTGTGAAGATTTCCTCAATATTCTAACAGAATCATTAATACATATTCTTTCCAAAAGTATGAATGACTTCACTGGAAATAATGACAGAGGAAACCTACCCCTATTGTTCTGTAATATGCTTAAGTAACTGCAAAATCCTCTGGGTAAAAGTCAAGATTCGGAATGATTACATGGGGAGCACTGTATCAATAAAATGCTAACACATTTTCATTGAGTTTATTTCTGAGATGGCTGTAAATAATAAAAAAGGGCCATTACATATATTGCTTTAATACTATTTTACAGCATTTGCAAACCATGAAATATTGGTGTTTTGAAAGCAATGGAGGAAATATACAGCCTAGAGATGTAGCATAGTATGTTAATCAACACAAAAGAGCTAAATGAAGAAATCTCAGCACATTTTGTTTTGTACCTTGGAAGATAATTTTCTCTTATTAAAGGAAAGTATATCAGTACATTACAGTAGCTACAAAATTAATTCTTCATAAATGGATTTGTGCTTTTGTGAGTCGAAATCTTTCCCATTATATTGTACAATTCTATGTTGATCAGAGGAAGGATACACTCTAAAACAATGAATTAAATAATAATTAGTTATACATCTACATTGTTATTAAATCTCTTTATTGACCTATGATGTGAACCGAACATTTAATGGTAAGGTTTGTGTTATGTCTTCCCATTCCCATATGTTAGATACATTGAAAAACAAAAGTGCTGGTATTTTATTGAGAATATTTCTTCTCGCTGTCAATGTGGCTTGAATGAGACTGGTACATTGTCAACTAACAATATAACTATACTGCAGTAGCATTCCCAAGACATTTACCCACACAAAAATTTGTTGGAAGTTCTTTGTAAATGGTGTAACGATAGCCCTTATTTTTAAAACACTTGATGCCACCGTATTGCATTCTTATACCCAATCCCAGTAAGTTAAGATGCAGGGTTGCTAATTGGGTCCCGACATCAGAAGACTCTGATGCAGGATAATGCAGTGACATACTACATACAATGAGATAGCCTAGTTAAGTTGATAGGGTTGTAAAGAAGGCGTATGGTGTGTTGGCTTTCATCAGCAGGGGAATTGAGTTTAAGAGCCACGAGGTTATGCTGCAGCTCTATAAAACTCTGGTTAGACCACACTTGGAATATTGTGTTCAGTTCTGGTCACCTCATTATAGGAAAGATGTGGAAGCTTCAGAAAGGGTGCAGAGGAGATTTACCAGGATGCTGCCTGGACTGGAGGGCAGGTCTTATGAGGAAAGGTTAAGGGAACTAGGGCTTTTTTCATTGGAGCGAAGAAGGATGAGAGGTGACTTGATAGAGGAGTACAAGATGATGAGAGGCATAGACAGAGTGGATAGTCAGAAACTTTTTCCCAGGGCGGAAACGGCTATCACAAGGGGGCATAATTTTAAGGTGATTGGAGGAAGGTATAGGGGAGATGTCAGAGGTAGGTTCTTCACACAGAGATGGTGGGCGTGTGGAATGCGCTGCCAGCAGTGGTAGTGGAGTCAGATACTTTAGAGACTTTTAAGCGACTCTTGGATAGGCACATGGAGGATAGTAATATGTAGGGTATGCAGGGTAGATTGATCTTAGTAGGATAATAGGTCGGCATAACATCGTGGGCCAAAGGGCCTGTGCCGTGCTGTACTGTTCTATGTTCTATAAATCTAGTCCCATTTACCGGCATTTGGCCCATAACATCTAAACCCTTCCTATTCATATACTCATCCAGATGTCTTTTAAATGTTGTAATTGTACCAACATCCACCACTTTCTCTGGCAGCTCATTCCATACACACACCACCCTCTGCAAGAAGTTGCCGCTTAGGACCCTTTTAAATCTTTCCCCTCTCACCTTAAACCAGGTCCTCTAGTTTTTGACACCACCACCCCAGGGAAAAGACATTGCCTATTTACTCTATCTATGCCCCTCATGACTTTATAAACCTCTATTAGGTCACACCTCAGCCTTCAACACACCAAGGAAAATAGCCCCAGTCTATTCAGCCTGTCCCTACAGCTTAACCCCTCCAACCCTGGCAGCATCCTTGTCAATCTTTTCTGAACCGAAATGTTGACATCCTTCTACCCACGCTTCAGTGAGTTTTTGTCTTAACTTAGCCTTGTCACTTGGAGACAGTAACTTTTGATTGGCAGAATCATGATATTCTTTCTTCAATCCAACAGCTCTGCAGGTGATTTCATGTCAATCTTGCTTGCAGGGTGTAGATCACAATGAGAGTAAGACAAGGTCGGGGTCTACATCTCTCAAACTTTTGGGATGGTCCTGAAAGAATGTGGTGATGAGGTGATGACATTGAACCCATACTGTGCAGCAAATTGTTTAAATTCTCTGGAAGTGAATGGGTTCCAATTATCACATATTGTTCTGTCAGGAATCCCTTGCTTAGCGCAACACACTTGTACAGCTGACATGTTTGTTAGAGCATTAAAATATTTCACCTTTTGAATAAAAGGAACTTTGATTAGTCTTCTACTATGAGGTACCATTCTCCATTGTGTATGAATAAAGTGGCCTCTACAGAAAACCATGGTCAGTGGTAGTTGAGCAGCTAACATCTCTTTCTGCTGTATGTTTCTGTCCTCTGGCACACATTGTATGTAAAAACTATTCTTTCAATATCTTTGTAGATGCCTATCCAGTACAAAACTGATCTAGCTCTGATCCAACACTTCTTCATTCCCATGTGGCCTTTATCTATCTTCTAGACACGTTCTGTTGTTTTGGCTAAGATTATTCTGCATCAAATTAACAGAACACTGCCTTCTAGTGATATGCCATCTCTAACAGACCAATAGTGACGTATTGCTGGCTAATTTGCTTTCTCTTATCAGGCCATCCCTGGATCATTTCTTGAAGAAGTACCTGTAATTCTTATCTTTGTTGGTTGCATCTCTAATTTGACTCCATTGCAGCAGTGTTACATACAGTCATAGAGTCATCCAGCACGGAAACGGACCCTTTGGTCCAACTCGTCCATGCCGACCAAGTTTCCCAAACTAAATTAGTTTTCCCGTTTCTTTCTAAACCTTTTCTGTTCATATACCAATCCAAATGTCTCTTAAATATTGTAACTGTACCTGCATCTACCATTCCCTCTGGCAGTTCATTCCACATACAAGCCACCCCCTGCACAAAAAAGTTGCCCCTCTGGACCCTTTTGAATCTTTCTCCTTTCACCTTAAAATTATGCCCTCCAGTTTTGAACTATCCAACCCTAGGGAAAAGACTTTTGATATTCACCTTATCTATGCCCATCATGATTTTATAAATCTCTATAGGGTCACCCTCAACCTCCTATACTCCAGGGAAAAAAGTCACGGCTTATCCAGCATCTGCTTATAACTCACACCCTCTAGTCCTAGTAACATCCTGGTAAATGTTTTCTGCACTTGCTCCAATTTAATAATATCTTTCCTATATCAAAGTGACCAGAACTGTACACAATACTCCAGACGTGGCTTCACCAATATCCTGGACAACCACAACATGACATCCCAACTCTTAAACTTAATGGTCTGAGCAATGAAGGCAAGCATTCCAAATACCTTCCTTACCACACTGTCCACCTGTGAAGCAACTTTCAATGAACTATGTACCTGAACCCCAGGTCTCTCTGTTCTACAATACTCCCCAGGACTGTGTACGTCCTGCCCTTGTCCATCTCATCAAAATGCAACACCTTGCATTTATCCAAATTAAACTCCTTCTGCTGCTCCTTAGCCCATTAGCCTAATTGATCAAGATCCCTTTGTAATCTTGGATCACCTTGCTCACTGTCTACTATATCACCAATTTTCGTATCATCCGCAAACTTACTAACCTTGCTTCCAATGTTGTCATCCAAATTGTTTACATAAATGACAAACAACAGTGGACCCAGCACTGATTCCTGCAGAATACCTCTGGTCACAGGCCTCCGGTGTGATAAACAACCCTTCATCACCATCCTCTGTCTCCTACCATCAAGCCAATTTTGTATCCAACAGTCAAGCTCTCCCTGAATCCCATGTGATCTAAAATTATCATTTGGGACTTTGTACCTAGATCTTTTATTGCATGGTTTACTGAATAAGTTCCGGCTCTTTGCAAGTGTTGAACCGTAGGGTGGCACAGCCATCTGTTTCAGTGTTGTAGAGCATACCATTAACGTCTTTTCCTTTGTAACCTCCTCTGATTTCTTTCGTTCCAAGCTGCATTTCCTTGTATGCCATTAACATGACATTGCCTCGTTTCATAGCACCTTCCTTTGGCTCCCCATTTTCTTAACATTTTCAGGCAAGATCATGTAGTGTAGTCTGAGTAGATGATGCTACTGTGTACTCTAGTATCAAGCTTCAGCTTCAGATTTATGACTGTTGGCTTATTGCTTACCCTCTTCCTGGTCACAATGATGGTGTAAATTTATTTTGTCTGGGAACTGTCACTTCCAGACATTTCATTC